TCACACACACACACACACACACACACACACACACTCATACACACGCCCACACATACACTCACATGCCCACACATAATGCAAAAGATGCGTTATCCTGGAGTTTTGTTATTGTATGAATCTGTGAGTGTTACTTTATTTGACAGCATTTTGCTTGTACATAGAGATCTTTCCAATAACCCCCAAAACCAAAGAAACAAAATATAACTTTCCCCTTCATAGCGACATTACGGTAAGCTAACAATCGAAACACGCAAATAAAATTCTCCTCACTGGTAGTTAAGTAGCTCCTACTATTCTGTGACGTCTTTTGGCGGACTTAATTATGAATACACTGGAGAAAAAAAATGTAGTACCCAACTTTTTGTTACACAACTATAGCTAGATCTAGCTGTGTGTTTGGGTTGTTTTTTTGTTTTTTTTACCTTTCGAAATAACGTGGTTTGAGGATTGGATTTTTCACTATTTGAAAAGTATTTATTTATCTGTTCTTTTTTTGTGTGTTGGTGTTCGGGATTAAGTTGCGTTAGTACCTTGGCCTGGTAATAACGTAGTGTTTGATGACTGGTGTGTGGCGAGAATATTGGTGTGTGTGTTTTTTTTCTCGAAAGTTTACTACCTTCAGTTTCAGCAGACCGGCGTCTGTGGTGTGGCGGTTAGGTGATTCGCTGTCGCTCGCTAGAGACTCTGGTTCGATCCCGGGTGGGGAGAATTTTTTATCGAGTACCTCGGTCTTTCTGCTGGGACCCCCCGGCGCTGTGCCACTGACTGAAGTGTCTTTAGGCCGTTCCCAAGGGGGGACATTTCTCGTTCAAGCATAGTAGGATTGTAAATGGATTGACTTATGTCACGCTCATAACTGTGCCTGATCTACAACAGGGAACTGCTCCTTTTTCTTTCCTGATCCTTACTATTGTCATTTTCCTCTGCTTCTTTTGTATGTTTGTCACTCTCTTGTGACCTGCTTTTTCCGGGGTGCCTTGATAGTCGAAGCAGACTTTGTGCTGTTGAAGCTAGAGAGGTGAGCTGTCTAAGTCTGATTCCCTGTAAAGACTTCTCTGTTTACACACACCCCTTAGCGCTCATATGACCTTATGCAGTTGCGAGCGCCGTAAAACCCTCTACTATTTAAAAAAAAAATTCTGCTGGGATGTATTCCTCTCAGGCCGGGTTGTTCCTGACAAGCATGTCAGTAAGCCGCCTCCCAAATGATCTAAATTTTGTCTATGAGGGTGTAACAACACCTGCATTAAGAAATATAAACATTTCAGTTTTCACGTTCTCTCTCTCTCTCTCTCTCTCTC